AGGAAGATTATTAATATAGCAATCTTTAGTGGCAGAAGTGATATGTCTAACATATTTGTAACACGGAGTCGGCTTTGCAGCCTTGGCTACACTGAAAACCCTAATAAGTTGATTGAACTCAATTGATTTGAGTAAACTCGTTCCCTCAATTTAATTGAGTAATGGGGTCTCCCAAAACGTGCATATTTGTGACCCGTCACGGAAACCAGGGACACAAGTCGGCAGCACAACTTGCGAGCAAAATGAGAAAGAAGCGTTTTTTTCCAAAATTGGTGATTTCCGCTTTTTTGCAGAATCTGTTAGTTGAGATCATGAAGAAGCCTCTACATGTTTGAGATAACAGTATTGGTATATTTAAAAGCGTACATTTTGAGGTTGAAATCGGCTTGTTTTTCGGAGATTCTAGCATGCAGTAGGGGCGTGTCATTGTCTGTGTGTATTTCCATACTGAATAGCCGCCGGCGCTTTTGCCCCCGCCCCCCAACAGCGTGGCTACTTAATATGCAGCGCTCTGGCCGGCTCTATCTGATATCAAAATTCAATGAAGATGGACGCCGCAAAGATTGTCGCAGACGAGCTGAAGCGTGGCAGTTACACCGAAAATGTTTTCGCCGCACTTTGTGGGCTCGGGAAACTGAACCGGAGGTATGGGCGCGGCGCGCGCGCCCTCGGTGCTTGAATACGGCGGCTCGGCTCGCTGACAGCGGTGGCTAACTGTTTCATATGTGATGTCCCGATTGCTTTGAATGGGGAACGTTTTGTGAACAGGGAACAGACTTAATGGACTGGCAACAATCTCCATAGAACATGAACTGGCACAGAGAATCGAAATAGAGGATGCAGTTAAGACCTTTGCTGCGATGAAGGCCTGCCGTGCGCGTTTCTGAAACGTAAGTTAAGCTTCATTTGCTCTCTAGTCGTTATTTAAGATGCTGAACCTGCTGATGATATAATGTGCTTGCGGACATTTCATTTGTGTGTGTATACGCACATAAGAAAGTGGTGTAAAGAGATTTGCAACAGTAATCTGAGGAGGAAATATGATTATTTGGAAAATTCCTGTCATGACTGCTTAAAGAAAAATGCCAGCAGGCATTTACCTCCTGCATAAACTTTAATATTGTTGACATTTTGGGCACACGCGCGTTGCGCACTATTTGCGTTATATGTAGGCCTATGGCTTATTGGTCTTTGTGTGTTGTTGCTGGTTTTGCGTTATATGTATATGGCATATTGGTCTTTGTGTGTTGTTGCTGGTAAACGTTGCAAATAGAGGGGCAGCACAATTGTTTTTCGCCTAGAGCGGCAGAAGTGCATTCGCCGGTCCTGGGGGTGAGTTTGCATTAAGCATTAAAGTTTGTCGTTTTGTTTTAATTCTAAGAACACGTACATGTTATCTCATGTTTAGTCTGTTTAGACCTTCCCATACCTACCTATTGTTATTAGCTAGCTCAGGAAAGAAAAAAAAGCTGTAAAGCACAGGGGGAGCTTTACAGGGGGTATGGCTTATCTAAATGAGATGTAAATGAGCCCTATTGTCACTCCCAGCAGGAGAGAGAGGTGAGAATGCACAATCTTTTGAGGCCGTTTTCTCCCATTTTACCTTTTTTGAGTTCCTACCTTCAAATGGCCACAACTTCTCCAAATATTATCAGATTTCCACGTGTTACACATCGTTGGAAAGCTTGGAGACTACACTTTCAGAATCTATGAATAACTCAAAATGCCGAAGAACCGACTTGTGTCCCTAGTTTCCGTGATCGGTCACATTTAAGTGTACTTAACTTGGTGCTTATGTAGACTGTAACACTGAAGCAGTGTTAAAGTTAATGAGATAATTAAGTGATTAATTGAGTGATGATTGAGCATTATTGAAGACACCTGATGATAACAAGCAGAATCACTGAAGGAGAAAACCATAATTTTTAAGTCACCGTTGTGGAGATCAGTGTTTGCTTTAGTTGGGCTTGATTGCTCAGATGGTAGCCTGGATGCCAGCCCGAACCCCGGCCACAACATTTTTTGATCGGGAAGTTCGGTCTGGACTCGCTCCATTGAGGAGTAATTATGATCGGTTCAGAAATCGTCGGGCCAATCAAATTGCCAGTGCGGGCTTTATACGATGATGGACAGATGATCTGCTGGGACGTAATCATCACGTTATCAAAGAGCGCTTGGGTTGAACTGGTTTCCCTCACAGATGACTGCCGCTGGAGAACTGAGATGTGTAGATCCCGCTATCGCATCTGTTGTAAAAGAAATCGACAGCGCATTCATTTTAAAAGACAAACATAGAACTGCAATCAAGGCATTTGTCGATCGGAAAGATGTGTTTGCCGTCCTTCCTACGGGATTCGGCAAAAGTTTAATTTATCAGCTGGCTCCGATGGTAACTAAGAAGATGGGACGCAATGAAAACCCTGTGGTCGTAGTAGTTTCTCCTTTGGTCGCACTCATAGAGGGCCAAGTAAAAGAAGCAACACTCGTTATTTTACTTCTTCCAGCGTGCGTGCATTTGAGTTCTGTAGTTGACAACTGTGCTATGCAAAGTAGTTGACTTACTGCGTTGCTCTCATTGGTTGTAGGTCTATCCAATTGAGTGCAGAGTTTTTTTTTTCCTGGTTCGGTTAAGACACGCCTCATAATCAAAGCCCTATGAAGCAGTATCAGACTCACATTCTGACTAGAATATGAGTATGACGAAGTCAGGCTACTCAGATGGCCCACTCTGCTATGATTGGTCTGCTCTGCTCTGCTCTGCTTGGTCAAATGGCCCAGTCTGTTGTGATTTGTCTACTCTGCTCTGATTGGTTAGTTGACCCAGTCTGTTGTGATTGGTCTACTCTGCTCTTAATGGTCAGATGACCCAGTCTGTTGTGATTGGTCTACTCTGCTCTGATTGGTCAGATGGCCCAGTCTGTTGTGATTGGTCTACTCTGCTCTGATTGGTCAGATGGCCCAGTATGTTGTGATTGGTCTACTCTGCTCTGATTGGTCTACTCTGCTCTGCTCTGATTGGTCTACTCTGCTCTGATTGGTCTACTCTGCTCTGATTGGTCTACTCTGCTCTGATTGGTCAGATGGCCCAGTATGTTGTGATTGGTCTACTCTGCTCTGATTGGTCAGATGGCCCAGTCTGTTGTGATTGGTCTACTCTGCTCTGATTGGTCAGATGACCCAGTCTGTTGTGATTGGTCTACTCTGCTCTGATTGCTCAGATGACCCAGTCTGTTGTGATGGATCTACTCTGCTTTGATTGGTCAGATGACCCAGTCTATTGTGATTGGTCTACTCTGCTTTGATTGGTCAGATGACCAAGTCTGTTGTGATTGGTCTACTCTGCTTTGATTGGTCAGATGGCCAAGTCTGTTGTGATTGGTCTACTCTGCTCTGATTGGTCAGATGGTCCAGTATGTTGTTATTGGTCTACTCTGCCCTAATTGGTCAGATGGCCCAGTCTGTTGTGATTGGTCAGATGGCCTAGTCTGATGTGATTGGTCTACTCTGTTCTGATTGTCAGATGGCCCAGTCTGTTGTGGTTGGTCTACTCTGCTCTGATTGGTCAGATGGCCCAGTCTGTTGTGATTGGTCCACTCTGCTCTGATTGGTCAAATGGACCAGTTAGTTGTGATTGATCAACTGCTTATAGCATGTGTTGGAAATGAAACACCTATCACCATATTTTAATTTCAGCCCTTCATCAGTACGACGGTTCCATGTGGAGTCGAGGGAGTTATGAGCCATGGTGGAGCTAACTCGACGGGTCGAGGTGGAGTAATAGGTTCGGAGGCCGACAAAGGAGACCTGGAGCTGGGCAGAACTAGTGGCGACAAAGAAGAATGGAGATTAGTGATTGGACAGGGCCAGCGAAGACTGGAGACTTTGAGATATGACAAAAATTAAATTCATCATACCATTTAATGGGGATCGGGCAGCACACCCTCAGTGACAAGAGTATGGGCGAGGCTCCACTTCATGCAATTGTGAATGCCCTAGAATGCCCTCAATGATGGATGTTGGTGCAGACTCACGCACCTGGTCAAACTCTTATTCGCTTGGGCTTAAGTGGCTGAAGGCTGGCTGGTCTCTGGACATCTTGATGAATAGGAAATACAGATAATTTAATGAACACAGAGAACACATAACACACTACAGATGTAATATTAACAATGACAAACATAACTGGGAAAACTAAGGGCTTATATACACAGTTAATGATCATTAACAAAACAAGAAACAGGTACTAATTAGAAAGCATGGTAACAAACAAGGATGAGAAAAGTTCAAACAAAACCAAAACAAAATATGATTATTACAACTGTAAATGTGGCCTTTATGTGCACAATTTATTAACAAAACTTATTTTAAATTCATCATGTCGTGTTTGTATTGTACTTCCTATGAATTTAATATGACATGAGCATTTTCTACCCTGTCTTTTACCTTCTGAATGAAACCAATAGTAAACACCCACTATTGTTATTGGCAAACATCATTTACAGCAGAATTCCATCCATATATGTTTAGGAGAGAACCTGATCCCAAATCAGTGTATGGATTCCTTTAAAAGCACTTATCCATAGAATTAAAGCTTGCATGGCAAAATAGTGCAAAGTTAGTGCTAAAACAACTACAATGAGTACAAAATAAAAGATAGTATCTTTATTATCTTTAAATCAACTTTTTCTTCTTTTCATATAATATAATAATATTTCCCCAAACAAGTCTTAGTCCTGAGCTTCACCATGACTCTACATGCCTAACAAATACTGGCAAATTAATTATTATTCCAAATATTATTTTTACTTACTGCCATTGCTGTTACTGCAGAGTGGGGGGAAAAAATGTTGTTTTTGGTCTACAGATGAACTTTTGAGTATTAAAATGTACTTTTTTTCTAATTCAGTACACAGAATATTGTTAGGTGTTCATCTGTGTATGTTTAAAGTGAAGACATAAATATAAAACTGATATGTATTCTTTCTCCTGTCTGTTAACAGGTCTCTTTATCCATCAGTCCTTTCAGTGCTGTTGTGACCCTGATCCTGCCCAGTGTGTTAATAATGCTGGCTGACCTGGTGACATTTTCTCTGCCCGTTCAAGGAGGAGAACGCAACAACCTTAAGGTCACCCTGGTCCTGAGCTTCACCATGTTCCTCCTCATCCTCAATGATCACCTAAGCAGTGGTGGACGATGTAGCCCAATCCTTCGTAAGAGAAAAAAATAAAAAATAACAAGCCTCTGTTAGTGTAGTCCTGGGCGGCAGTAATATTGTGATGCAGTACAACAGAAATGACCTTTACGCATACTTTACGCAGGTTTGCACGTTGTGTTGAATGTACTTAAAGTTGGCATAAAATGAAAGTTGCATCCGACAATACACTATGCAGCGTGGAATGATGGCCCTTGGGCGGCTCACTCCTGTTTGCCAGATCTGGGCCACAAGCAGGCCATAGCAATGCCACATGTCAGCCAAGAGCAAAGAAATAAACCAGAACTGGACCTTATATGAGCCACAAAGTCTGTGTATATTAAATATGGAGTCATCTCAGCCTTAATAAGCCTGTTAACAAGCAGAATCACTGAAGGAAAGAAGAGAACAGAAAAAGAGACGAGCAGAAACACAAGAACTACAACTGACTTCAGACACAGTCTTAGATGAAATCAACTGAAGATAAAAGAACATTAAATCTCTGAAGATCTCAGCAGAGGAGGATTAAAGGGTTAGTTCACCCAAAAATGAAAATTCTGTCAGTATTTACTCACCCTCATGTTGTTCCAACCCCGTAAGACCTTCGCTCATCTTCGGAACACGAATTAAGATATTTTTGATGAAATCTGAGAGCTGGATCACTCCTCCATACTCCTCCATAGGCTTCAAAAGGATTGAAACTTGCCGGCCTCGAAAAGTTATTAAAGGTCCCCTGACATGAAATTTTCACTTTCTGTTTTTTTTTAACATTAATATTAGTCCCCCTAGCCTGTATTTGGTCCCCTCGTGTCTAGAAATTTCAGTCGGTGTAAACCGAGTTTTGGCTATCTTTCTCTGCCTGTGAGAAAATGAGATCTCAGACGCGCTGATCTTGAATCTCCCCCGTATGACGTCATATAGGGGAAAGGTTACCTCCCCTTCTCTGCTTTGCCCGCCCAGAGAATTTGGCTCGCCCATGAGAAAACGAGCTAGGAACAGGAAGTACGAACGCGCCTGCGCGATTTTAGTTTTTCCTAGAGAAATAACTTTGAGATTTGAGTTTTTCCTCGAGAGATATCATGGCTTGCAAACGAGTGAAGCATGGCAGTTGATCAGTGTTCGGATGTACAAATGAACACAAAAGTATTTTTTAGTTCCTTCATCCGAGCCTCTGAAGAAACAATGGGTTCATTTTATTTTCTCTGGAAATGCGCCGACAAATTGTGTATGGTCCAAACATTTCACCGACGACTGTTTCCTCAACTCGATGAACGTCTGAAAATAAATCGATCGAGCTACCAAGCAACAATTTCTGATGTGTAGCCTAATTGTTCAAGTTCAGACAGGTAAGTTAATCTTTCTCTCAAAATCGTTCAATACTGTTTATGCATCAGTAAGTCAAGCCAGTGACTAAAATATCAACTTCACATCGTTTCTTTTAGTAGGATGAAAATAATCGTATTTAAATTCTGAACAAATTATACAGAAAGCGATCAAAGAACAATATTTCCACACAGTGCAAGTTTATCTGGACAACTCGTTATGAAATCAAGGACGCACGTTACACTGCACAACGAAGCTCTTACTGTATTAGGTATTTACATCATCGTGTTTGCATTGGTGAAAGCATTAGAGAGAGCAGAAACTGAGTTGCAATGATAAGATCTTCATTCTCGCGATCAACAGACTGTCCTCTGCTTGCTCAATGCTCATCACGGCAACATTTTATGTGATGGGAATAGATCTAAATACTTTAAAAACTTCTCACGATTCGTAAATCTCGATAGCTGTAATAGTAAAAACGTATAATAGCGGTAGTAAAAGTATTCGAGAAAGTTTCGCATGTAATACATTTCATATGCAAGCATGTCAGCCAATCACAGCAGTGGCCGGTTACACTGAATCCCACAGAGACACGCCCCTTCAAACAGAGCGTTCAAATCAGAGGCTAAAATCAGGCTAGGAAAATTGCCTTTTATTTCTAAATTATGTCTATTTTTGATCTAAAAAACATACTAACATTATAAGGGCAACCCAGGAAACATTTATAAAATAATAAAATAACGTCATGGGACCTTTAGAGACATCGTTAAAATAGTCCAAGTGACTACAGTGGCTCAATCTTAAGTTTATCAAGCGACGAGAATACTTTTTGTGCACAAAAACAAACAAAAATAACGACTTTATTTCAACTATACATTTCGTTCTCTGTTGGCCTCTAGTCAGTTAACTTAGTGTAATAGCGTAGAGCTACGTCACATGTAGGCTCACTATTGGCCGACGCTGGTCATGTGTGTGATGTGTGTGACGTACAACAACAGAAGCTCTACGCTTTTACACTAGTGAACTGACTTGAGGCCCACAGAGAAGGACATGAATAGTTGAAATAAAGTCGTTATTTTTGTTTTTTTGCGCACAAAAAGTATTCTCGTCGTTTGATAAACTTAAGATTGAGCCACTGTAGTCACTTGGACTATTTTAACGATGTCTGTAATAACTTTTCGGGGCCTGCAAGTTCAATCCCTCAAGAAGCCTATAGAGGAGTGATCCAGCTCTCAGACTTCATCACAAATATCTTAATTTGTGTTCCGAAGATGAACGAAGGTCTTACGGGGTTGAACAACATGAGGGAGAGTCATTACTGACAGAATTTTTGGGTGAACTAACCCTTTAAACAACCCCACAAACAGCATTACCAGCTTCCCGTATTACTCACCAGATTTACTTGATTTCTGTCAGTTCTTATTGAGAATTAACAGAGGTTTAACTCTGTTTCATTTGAAGTCACCATAATGGTGATTAGTGTTTCAATTAGTTGGGCTCTTAACTCTTATTAAATCTTTTGTCTTTTTCTGCTGCTGTGACAGTGTGTTTGTCAAACACATTTGCAGTAGCAAAGGAAGCTGAAGTGAAATCAGGTGATCAGGTGATGATAGTAATAAGTGAAGCTGGTAATGCTGTTTGTGGAGTTGTTTAATCCTCCTCTACTGAGATTTAATGTCTTCTTTTATCTTCAGTTGATTTCATCTAAGGTTGTGTCTGGAAGTCGGTTGTAGTTCTTGTGTTTCTGCTAGTCTCTTTTTCTGTTGTTTTCTGTTGTCTTCTTTCCTTCAGTGATTCTGCTTGTTAACAGGCTTATTAAGGCTGAGATGTCTCCATATTTAATATACACAGATTTTGTGGCTCAGATAAGGTCCAGTTCTAGTTTATTTCTTTGCTCTTGGCTGACATGTGGCATTGCAATGGCCTGCTTGTGGCCCAGATCTGGCAAACAGGAGCGGTCCGCCCCAAATGCCATCATTCCATGCTGCATGTGGGCCAGATCAGTATTCAACAAGTGCAAGATGTGGGTCGGATCTGGGACAAAACAATGTTGCTATCTGGGACAATTATGCAATGCACAGGTAAATTATTAATTGCTCTGTATTTTGCTCCAAAGATTATCATTTCTGCTTCTGTCTGGTCAATCTGGTGTTGAGCATGGTGGTGTCTATTGTGTTGACACGTCTGACGTTGAATGACGGAATCCTGTCTTGTAAATGCTCAAAGAACATAAAAAAAAACAAAAAAACTGCCAGCCTGGGTCAGGATGAAGGTAAAAGAGTACTAAATACAGCAAACATAAATAGTTAATAGCTTGATACTGACTTGTAGTGTGTTCATGCATATATATATATTTTTTTTTTTCATTATTAGATGCTGTGGTGATTGCAACAATAAAGTCCAGCGATCTGCCTTCAGAGGTGGCTTCCCTCCAAAAAATAGTGAACTTTTTGGAAAACGTTGACCAAAAACAGCAAGTGGCAAGCAGCAACGAGTCTTTTGTAGATCGCTTGGATAAAATCTGTTTCTGTTTTTTTTTATTCCTTGACATAATTTATATCATTGTTGTTGTCATTGTCACCAGAACAGACTTGTGCAAAGAAAAAAAGAAGGAATTATGGGATACAGAAGATTTTTATGATTCTTTTTCTTATGTTGGTCCTGCTTTATATTTTAACAATGGCACAGAATATTATGAAGGTATTTATTAAAGAACATATTATGATTTGATTTTTGCAAAATTGACATTGGTGATTTGGATCTACATAATTTCTGTATGCGATTTCCATGAAACAGAATTTGATTTTAAACCATTACGTATTTTTATTACATTTTTAACAATATACTATATTGTACATATTCATTTACACATTTGAGGAATTTTATTAACCGTGTCATCGATAAAGGGTATAACAAGGAAATCTACTTTTATTTACTATTTATGTTGGAAATTAAAAACCTATATGTCGTCATATGTTTATAGGGGATTTGGGGTAGAAGGCTCCTAGTAGCGTATTGTTGCTCGACCCTTTCTTAATATTATTACACATTGAAGTTTTTAAATAAAAAATGTGCATGTTTTCAAACCTTTCCATATTTCATCATCATAATGTTTTAGGCCAGTTGAGTGGAATTTTTATTTATTTAGCGTATATGGTGTAAAATGCAATATAAAAGAATTGACCCTTCGCTAAGCCCCGCCCTCCTTAGTTACTGTTGCTACGCCTGTCAAGCTTTCGCGGCTGCCACGTCTATTACAGTGTGAATGCACCGGTGTCAGACATTCCCAAGGAGATATTTAGTCATTTTTGGCGAACAAGTGAAATATCTGAGAGAGCAAGACAAAAGGGACAGCAGTATGCATTCGAGGGATATATCCACGACATAATATGCAACCGATTGAATAATTTCATCAAAATTGAAGCTAAAGCCTATAACGTTAGGTCCCAGCGCAAGCCGCAGCCGCCTCCTTAGCAGACCATTCACATGGGAAACACACAAATTGAACAGCTATGTTCATGCACAGCAGAGTAAGTGAAATGTGAAAATAATCTAATATCAAATCAATTTAAATCAAACAGTTTATCCATCAATCTAACACCGGGAGAGCCGCGATCGGATTGGGGTAAAGTTACAGGGGTAAAGTTAACGTTAGTAGGCCGTCCGCCGTCGATTAACACAATGCTGAAACACATTTTAAAGTATGTCAGTGAGCCTCCGTCTTGCCTTTAATCGTCTTATTTTACGTTCAAATATATTCATTATGAACAAAGAACCGCCATTATTTCCAAGCAATAGGCGGGGTTTTTTTTGTTAATCCTGTCGACAGTTGTGAATGGGTCTCCACACTGCTTGATCCACGCCCGGGATTTCTCCCCTTTGGCTTTTAGGTTTCGGGAAGAGAAAAAATGCCACCCCACCGTCCAAACTTTTAGAATACCGGGTATCAGATTTGCACAATCCATACGCACAACGCGTCGGCATGTTTGCCTCGCTCGAAAGCTTGACAGACCTCCCGCGCCTAGTTACGGTTGCTAAGCCACGATTGGCCAGTGGTGGTTTTCGGGCGTGGCTTAGCGAAGGGTCAATTGAATGAAACATGTGATCACATAAAATTCAAATAGGAAATAGGTAGCTTGAAACAGGGAGTCTTACATATTTCTGGCATGAAACTTTGAATGTTGCAGGCTGATGAGTCTTTAACATATTGGTAGCAATCATGTCGTTATCTACATAGCAGCTAATTGGTTGCTGTTGCATCAGCGGCCAATGAGCTTGCTGCTCAAACATTCAAATACTTGGCATTGTTTGCTGTTAACAATTTGCAGCGCGCTTTCAGAACCCTCCCCCTTCCCCAGCTCCACCTGTATAGATCTGCTACAGGGTTAATTCATGTATGATACATGTGCAGCAGCAGCAGCATGTCTTACATGCTCACAGCAACGTCTGTGAATGTGTTCGCAGTAGCAAGTCTCGGTACTTGCTCTGCATCCATTACCATGACAATCTCTATTACCATACGAATCTCCCGAGAGTTGTCATGACAGAAATACAGTTGTTGTGTTCAGTTGCAGTGAGCGATTTCTGAGAATTATTGTTAAACACTGTTGATATTTTAAATCAACCCAAACAAACACACCCCTCCCTTCATTGCTCCGCCACCAAAATAACAAACGTGCTATGCAAGAGTGTAACTGATGTCTATATCATAGCAGAAGCGAAGCAATGTACAGCTTTGCGAAAAATAAAGCGAAGATGCCGAAAAAAAGACAAGGAAGAACTAAAAATGAATATAGAGTACATGAGTACAAACAAGAGTTTGTTGTTAGTCACCAGCAGCACACACTCAAAACCAATGTTAATTAAGGATGGAGCAGAAACAACGCAATCTCGGAATCCATTTTTAGGACTTCCCGCTTTGGACTCTTCAGCGCTGGAAAGCTTTTCTAATATCAACGCGGGTCCTAGAGCTCCAGCCTGATCATAACCCTTTTTTTTACAATGATATTCCTCTGACCTTTTCTCTTTTGTAATGTCTCTCAGCCATCTCCCTTTCAATGGTCTTTCTTCAAATATCCCTCTTGCTTTCTCTCTCTCCTCCCCCATCATGAGTGGACAGAAATCACTTACTGCACCTTTTATACTCTGCTATATTTTACGAATGCATTGGCATATCGTTCCGAAACTCGCTATGTGTGTTCAGCACCATGCCCTGAAGGTACTCAAAACGTTTTTGGGCAGCAAAAATTACAAAATAGCTTTTGATTAATTTTGCCTATTGTAATGAATCTGGTCTTATTATATTCCTTGGGTCATGCCGAGAACAGAGATACCAATTTGGCATTGTCTGCCAAACTTCCTGTCCGCCATTTTGATTTTCTTTAAAAGCCTATTTTTTTCGAAATCCTCTTAGACCATTGCTATGATTTGAACAATTTCATTCTATCATCTTCAGACCATGCCAACAAAAAGTTATGGATTTCGTGTCGATAGACAAAACTGTTTTCGTATACCCCATCAACAAAGTTGTATCCATAGTTGATGCCAAAACAATGCTGTATCTCTGCAATGCTTTGCCACATTGACACCAAACTGTGCATGAGTCATTGTAACCTCACTCTGACCACAACACATCAATTTTGTCACACACTCATCAATCTATTGTCTGCAATACAATATTGAGGTATTAATCTAGGAGCAAAACACAACTAACAAACACAACTTTGAACATAAACGTTCATCACAAACATACAAGCAGCTCATTAAAACTAAATGATCAGGTGTTACCTTATGAATGCCTTTCTCCAAGAATAATATATGCGATGGACAATGCAAATTGGCAACTAGACTATCACAGACCAAAACAAAAACAAACATTCCAGCCTGGAAATGCACATTTCACAGTAAAATAACCGGCTGTATAAGTGTTTTTCAGAGAAACGAGTATGTGAACTTAGCATGTTTCCTCAATATATGCAAACATATTATGGTATTTTTATGCTTTAGTAGAGTGAAAAAGTTACATACAGCACCTTTAATCACGATTCAGTGTTGAATTCTGTCTGGTTAGTGGTGATTTCTCTATTGGCTCCTGTCCTGACTGCAGATGGCAGTACAAGCTCAAAGCTGTGTGTGTAGAATAGAAATAACTGGAGAGCTGTAAATGAACAATCCCATTCATCTCAGGAAAATCATGGATATAATGACAACACTGTTTGGCACGCCACAAACACACATGTAGCCTCAAAGCGCATATATAGTCATTATCCTCTGAAAAAAAATGTTTAGTCAGTTCAACTTAGAAAATGTACTTCATGTGGTAACATCTACAATTACTGGGTGTGTTGAAATGAAATACAGTAGTCAACATTCAAAGTGGATCAAAACCTTTAATCAAAGTTATACATGAATTTTGAACAATACCCGTTCTATAGGACAACTTTGATTAACTTTTTTGATCCACTTCAAATGTTGACTACTGTATTTGATTTAAGATTACTGATTATAACTGAATTCAATCAACCTGAAAAAACTGAGTTTTACTGAAGCATAACTGTCAGTAGATATAACCTAATTTCCCAGATAAGTGAAATTACTTATTTTGTAACTTCTTTTTTGTTTTATAAGATGAAAATCCTTTTCCACCTTATTGGAAATAGACTCAAAACATAATTCATTATCTTTGTGTTATTGAAGACATGTTTCCTTAACAACTTAATTTAGCTTACTCCAAATTAAATTAGTGTTGGGTCAACAGTGTCACTCAACATCATGTATTTAATGATTTACTGAGTAAAGCCTTGAGTCAGCAATGAATGTAAATCTCTGAATTCCCACAGCCTGAGCACAAGCGCTACTCTTCAACACAACGTTCAATAACAGAAACTCCTCCAAATGTCCAACTGATAATTAAACATCGACATAAACTACCAACATCTTTCCCTTTACTTAACAAAATTGTACCCTTTAAAGCATGCTGGGAACTACAGATCCACTGTCCAGGGCATCGTAACACTAAGTAGATCTTAGACTCTTTGCCACCAATGGTCTCTACGCTCAACTGAGCTCACGATGCTTTGAGAAACGTAGCCCTGGATCTGTAGTTCACGGCATGCTTTGTAAGGGATTGCATTAAGAGAGTAAATTTAGGGATTAACCCAGATAACAGATTTTTGTTATAAGAACATTCTCTAAATATCCAATGTTGGTTCTGGGAACGTAAAAAAACATCCAGTTTTCTTGACGTTAGAAGAACGTGTTTTAAAAAGTATAATGTTCCTCAAACGTTCTTTCAACTTACCAAATGTCTGAGGAGTGCTTCCAGGACTCAAAATGTTTGCTTGAGGTGCTCTTTGGATGGGATAATCATACGTAGCAAAAAACTCCAAGTCATTCTCTTTAGAAAGATTAAAAAGCCTTTATTGTTATGGCTTGGTCATCTTAAACCTTTGAAACACTCCTACAAGCCTTTGTTAGGGAGTCAACCAAGTAAGTTTTTTCAATTTAATTTTGGTGGAAAACCTCAACACTTGAGGAAAGTTGATTTCTAACATTCCAAGAACATAAAAATAACTATTTTCTGAATGTTACTAGAAAGTTATTTAAAAGTTAGTATGATCAAGAATCAACATATGAATCCCAACAATGGTGACATGCTTCATGCAGCAACGCATCCTGGGAGCACCATAGTATAAAACTCATGACTCCCAGCATCCATTGCGGCATAAAGTATGTTACCATTGTTGAGATTCATGCTGATTCTTGATGTGTATTATGAATGTCTGATGCAATATTGTTAAGGAAGCTTAATGTCAGTTTTACAAAACTGACATTAAAAGCAAAGAATTAAACTGCCCGATTAAAAGAAACACTGATCACCATACATTTTCCATAAAATCAACATCTAAATATCTGTTCATTCTCAAAAAGAGCTGTAGATGAATTACAGAAAAACATTTTTCCTGGTTAGTAATAAGACTGCTTTAATGTCTTTTCTGTTGATTTCATCTTAGTCTGTGGCTGAAGTCAGTTGTAGTTCTTGTGTTTCTCTTTCCTTCAGGGATTCTGCAAGTTATAATCTGGTGTCTTCAATGTTGGCAATCAAAACTAAACAGTTATTAATTCATCTTTAACGTCTGTATTTTTGTTAAAATTTTACTCATTTTAAATGGCTGACTTTTAAGGAATTAATTTGATAAATTCTTACTCACTTCTTATTTATTACATTTAATTAATAATATTGCTTGTAATGTGTTTTGCCACAATTCTATTAATTTTTACAGTGCGCTTTAGACCATGCGCTTAGATCCTTAAAATAGGGCCCTAAGTGTTATTTTATGTGTTTTTCAGTGAAAGTTATATAACTTATATAAATCTAGGTCTATTCGGCCATAGAGATAATTAAACAAATATTTGTGTTATTATCACAACATAATTAGACATTTTAAACAAAAGTCTTTGTCAATAAAAAAAGTGTCAACTCTTCCTGGAGGTTAGAAAATAACCTTAAAAGGCAAAACAAGGAGAACAGCACATGTAAAACTTCATTCGTTTTCTTCTATTGTTGCAAAAATAGAGGTGCAGTAACAGTATCTTTGGACTGCATTCAAAGAAAGAAACCTAATTGTTCTTTTTAAGCCACAGTAAATAAGGCAATTAAAAACGTCTTAAGGCTGTTTGAATACGCCTTTCACAAGAGGACAATGTAAGTATTATTCTCTCGAGAAAGAACGGGATCAAACTAAACTAAATGTTGGCAAGTTCATTTGTGTAACAAAAGGGGAAAGAATTAAGATGGTCTTTACTTACAGTACAAACATAATTTACACAAAAATATTTATATTGTATCAGTCTACTGTTATTAGAGTATTACCCAAATTATTTTATATACTAAAAAAAATCAAATAAACAAAAATATATATTGATATATATATACACTAACGGTCAAAAGTTTTGGATCGGTACATTTCCATGTTTTTAAAAGAAGTCTCTTCTACTCACCAAGGCTGCATTTATTTGATTTTAAAAAAAAAAGATAAAAAATTATATTCTTGAATATTATGACAATTTAAAATAACTGTTTTCTATGTGAATATATAATAAAGTATCATTTATTCCTGTGATCAAAGCTGAATTTTCAGCATCATTACTCCAGTCTTCAGTGTCACATGATCCTTCAGAAATCATTTTGATATGATGTTTGATGCTCAAGAAACATTTATTATTATTATCAATGTTGAAACTGTCAGAGTCCCCACCTAATGGTCACTGTCACTGTCATCGTCTCTGTCACTGTCATGTGTTAGTCCCCATCTGCACTACAGTTTCCAGCATCCTCCTTGGCCCACACCTGCACCTCCTTCACCATTACCCGCATTATCATTTGTCTGGAGAGCTTCATCCCTCAGTACGCCGTTCCACAGTCTGATCTTTACGTCAAGCCTGTCCAGCCTTATCTTCACGTCATGCCTGTCCAGTCTGATCTTCACGTCATGCCTGACCAACCTTATCTTCACGTCATGCCTGTCCAGTCTGATCTTCACGTCATGCCTGTCCAGCCTGATCTTCACGTCATGCCTGTCCAGCCTTATCTTCACGTCATGCCTGTCCAGCCTGATCTTCACGTCATGCCTGACCAGCCTTATCTTCACGTCATGCCTGTCCAGCCTGATCTTCACGTCATGCCTGTCCAGCCTGATCTTCACGTCATGCCTGTCCAGCCTTATCTTCACGTCATGCCTGTCCAGCCTGAGCTTCACGTCATGCCTGTCCAGCCTTATCTTCACGTCATGCCTGACCAGCCTGATCTTCACGTCATGTCTGTCCAGCCTGACCTTCACGTCATGCCTGACCAGCCTGATCTTCACGTCATGCCTGACCAGCCTGTCCTTCACGTTAGAGTCCTGCGCGGGACTGTTTTCTTCATCCCGCTCCCGCCCGCGCCCGCCGAATTTCTGACCATTACCGCCCGCTCCCGCAACGTATGTGTTACACTCCCGCCCGCTCCCGCAATATGTATGTCCACTCCCGCCTGCACCCGCAAAACTCGGAGAATTTATTCCCGCACAATAATAGAGATGCATTGACTTTGTGTCTTCTCCCGTCCCGCAGGAAAAAAACGCGTATTTGTATTGCTATTATTAAAGAGATTCATGGGGTTGTTGGTTTCGTTTCCCTGGCCTGCATGTATTCTGACGCACTGATCAGGAAGATGAATAGTAAATGTCAGACTTGCCTTGCTCAGGTTTTGTGCTGTAAATACCCTGTTTGAGGTTCTTTTCCACATCATTGACATCTCCATCATGTCGTTAGGCTACCTCCCGATCCCGCAGGTTTTTTTTTGGCTGCCCATTCCCCCCGCAGCAAAGTTCAAACCGCCCGCTCCCGCGAGATTTGCGTTGGGTCCCGCGGGACCCGGCGGGACTCAATCCCAATGCAGCCCTCTACTTCACGTCATGTCTGTCCAACCTGATCTTCACGTCATGCCTGACCAGCCTGACCTTCACGTCATGCCTGACCAGCCTGATCTTCACGTCATGTCTGTCCAGCCTGACCTTCACGTCATGCCTGACCAGCCTGATCTTCACGTCATGCCTGTCCAGCCTTATCTTCACGTCAAACCTGACCAGCCTGATCTTCACGTCATGCCTGTCCAGCCTGATCTCCACGTCATGCCTGACCAGCCTGATCTTCACGTCATGCCTGACCAGCCTTATCTTCACGTCATGCCTGACCAGCCTGATCTTCACGTCATGCCTGACCAGCCTTATCTTCACGTCATGCCTGTCCAGCCTGATCTTCACGTCATGCCTGTCCAGTCTGATCTTCGCGTCATGTCTGTCCAGCCTGATCTTCACGTCATGCCTGACCAGCCTGATCTTCACGTCATGCCTGACCAGCCTGATCTTCACGTCATGTCTGTCCAAGGCTGATCTTCACATCATGCCTGTCCAGTCTGATCTTCGCGTCATGTCTGTCCAGTCTGATCTTCACGTCATGCCTGTCCAAGGCTGATCTTCACGTCATGCCTGTCCAGTCTGATCTTCGCGTCATGTCTGTCCAGCCTGATCTTCACGTCATGCCTGACCAGCCTGATCTTCACGTCATGCCTGACCAGCCTGATCTTCAGGTCATGTCTGTCCAAGGCTGATCTTCACGTCATGCCTGTCCAGTCTGATCTTCGCGTCATGTCTGTCCAGTCTGATCTTCACGTCATGCCTGACCAGCCTGATCTTCACGTCATGCCTGACCAGCCTGATCTTCACATCATGCCTGACCAGCCTGTCCTTCACGTCATGCCTGACCAGCCTGATCTTCACGTCATGCCTGTCCAGCCTGATCTTCACTTCATGCCTGACCAGCCTGATCTTCACGTCATGCCTGACCAGCCTGATCTTCACGTCATGTCTGTCCAACCTGATCTTCACGTCATGCCTGACCAGCCTGATCTTTACGTCATGCCTGTCCAGCCTTATCTTCACGTCATGCCTGACCAGCCTGATCTTCACGTCATGCCTGTCCAGCCTGATCTTCACGTCATGCCTGTCCAGCCTTATCTTCACGTCATGCCTGTCCAGCCTGATCTTCACGTCATGCCTGACCAGCCTGATCTTCACGTCATGCCTGTCCAGCCTTATCTTCACGTCATGCCTGTCCAGCCTGATCTTCACGTCATGCCTGTCCAGCCTGATCTTCACGTCATGCCTGTCCAGCCTGATCTTCACCTCATGCCTGTCCAGCCTTATCTTCATGTCATGCCTGTCCAGCCTGATCTTCACGTCATGCCTGACCAGCCTTATCTTCACGTCATGCCTGACCAGCCTTATCTTCACGTCATGCCTGACCAGCCTGATCTTCACGTCATGCCTGACCAGCCTGATCTTCACGTCATGTTTGTCCAAGGCTGATCTTCACGTCATGCCTGTCCAGTCTGATCTTCGCGTCATGTCTGTCCAGTCTGATCTTCACGTCATGCCTGACCAGCCTGATCTTCACGTCATGCCTGACCAGCCTGATCTTCACGTCATGTCTGTCCAACCTGATCTTCACGTCATGCCTGACCAGCCTAATCTTCACGTCATGCCTGACCAGCCTGACCTTCACGTCATGCCTGACCAGCCTGATCTTCACGTCATGTCTGTCCAGCCTGACCTTCACGTCATGCCTGACCAGCCTGATCTTCACGTCATGCCTGACCAGCCTGTCCTTCACGTCATGCCTGACCAGCCTGATCTTCACGTCATGCCTGTCCAGCCTGATCTTCACGTCATGCCTGACCAGCCTGATCTTCACGTCATGCCTGACCAGCCTGATCTTCACGTCATGTCTGTCCAACCTGATCTTCAGGTCATGCCTGACCAGCCTAACCTTCACGTCATGCCTGACCAGCCTGACCTTCACGTCATGCCTGACCAGCCTGATCTTCACGTCATGTCTGTCCAGCCTGACCTTCACGTCATGCCTGACCAGCCTGATCTTCACTTCATGCCTGACCAGCCTGTCCTTCACGTCATGCCTGACCAGCCTGATCTTCACATCATGCCTGTCCAGCCTGATCTTCACTTCATGCCTGACCAGCCTGATCTTCACGTCATGCCTCTCCAGCATGATCTTCACGTCATGCCTGACCAGCCTGATCTTCACGTCATGCCTGTCCAGCATGATCTTCACGTCATGCCTGACCAGCCTGATCTTCACGTCATGCCTGTCCAGTCTGATCTTCACGTCATGCCTGACCAGCCTGATCTTCACGTCATGCCTTTCCAGCCTGAGCTTCACGTCATGCCTTTCCAGCCTGAGATTCACGTCATGCCTGTCCAGTCTGATCTTCACGTCATGCCTGACCAGCCTGATCTTCACGTCATGCCTGTCCAGCCTGATATTCACGTCATGCCTGTCCAGCCTGAGATTCACGTCATGCCTGACCAGCCTGATCTTCATCTTCAAATCAAATTTTGTGGCGGGCTATATGTCCTCTGCCAGAGTGGCCAGACCGTCTCCGCCATGGCCGCCCGAAGGGTCCTCTCCGCCATGGCCGCCCGAAGGGACGTCTCGGCCTTGGCCGCCAGAAGGGTCGTCTCTGCCATGGCCGCCCGAATGGTCGTCTCCGCCATGGCCGCCCGAATGGTCGTCTCCGCCATGGCCGCCCAAAGGGTCCTCTCCTACATGGCCGCCTGAAGGGCCGTCTCCGCCATATCCGCCCAAAGAGACGTCTCCGCCTTGGCCACTAACTGCTTTGCCCTGGTCTCCCGAATTGCCGGAACCGTCCTGGAGTCATCGGACCCTGGTGATCCTGGAGGACTCCAGGACGTTCTGTCACAGGGGAGTTCTGTCAGAGTCACCACCTAATGGTCATCGTCACTGTCATCGTCTCTGTCACTGTCATGTGTCGGTCCCTGTCTGCACTACAGTTCCCAGCATCCTCCTTGGCCCACACCTGCACCTCCTTCACCATTACCCGCACCTGCCAGCAATCATCATCATCACTCACCGTCTTCAACTGTTGTCTTCATTGTTTACCTGTATATTTAAGTTCCTCCTTGTCCAATGTTCTGGGTCGGTTATTGTTTGTGCCTTGCACGCTGTTTCGTATTGTTGGCTTTTGTATGTTCCTGTTATATAATCTTTGATATCTTCATCTTCATCTTCAGTGGATTCCGAACATTACAGAAAACAGTTGTGTAAAAATTTTTTTCAGGATTCTTTGATGAATAGAAAGTTCAAAAGAAATGAAAGCTTTAGCTTAAGTTCTGTCAGGAAGACTCAATCAGCTCGTCATGTATTACCTCATTTTTATCCAATCAGGTGTTAACAGTCACAGTATAAAAGATTGGTAATTACACCTGTCTGAGTTCGCAGATGCAGATGCTGCCATTCACCTCCATCCTCCCCAACCACCACCAAGATGGTACCTTCCCCTTCATCCTCCCCAACCACCACCAAGATGGTACCTTCCCCTCCATCCTCCCCATCACCACCACCAGGATGGTCCCTTACTTACCTCCAGGGGGTCGGCTGCGCCCCCGCCTTCATCTCAGGCGGGACATGCAGATTCGGCTAACCTCGCTTTGAGAACTCATACGCCAAAAGAACTCATAAATTTATGCTTGCTGAGCTGTCAATAAATGTATACAGCTTTTCAATTTGTCTCCCGAGTCTTTCTGGTAGAACAGCATTTATCTGAAATATAATCTTTTGTAACATTATAAATGTATTTACTGTAACTTTTGATCAATTTAATTCATCCTTGATAAATAAAAATATTGATTTGATTTTATTTATTTCCCCCCAAAATTAAAATAAAAATTCTTACTGACCCCAAATTTTGAACGGTAGAGTTTAATGTTACAAAAGCTTTATATTTCAGATAAATGCTGTTTTTTTTTTTTTTACTTACTATTCATCAAAGAATCCTGAAATAAAAATGTACACAACTGTTTTCAATATTGGTAATAATCATAAATGTTTCTTGAGCATCAAATCTGGAGTAATGATGCTGAAAATTCAGCTTTGATCACAGGAATAAATTACTATATACTATATATTAACGTAGAAAACAGCTGTTTTAAATTGTGATAATATTTCACAATATTACAGTTTTTTTAATATTACAGTTATATTTTTAATCAAATAAATGCAGCCTTGGTGAGCCGAAGAGAATTCTTCTAAAAACATTAAAAATCTTACCGATCCAAAACTTTTGACTGGTAGTGTATATATAAATATACAGTATATATATAACTCTATTTTATTTGCCTTATCGATTGACATTTTTCCCTCAATAAGCGAGAATAAGAGAATAAGAGATAAGAACTAAATAAAATAAGAAACAACACCATCAGCATTCAAATGTATTTCATTTCACATTATATTTATTGAAAAAAATATTGATAACACTTTACAATAGTGTCATTTGTTAGGATTAGTGAATGCATTATGCGCAAAATATTCTTACAGCATTAATACAAATTGTCATGTTCATGTTAGATCCCAGTGCATTAATTAATGTTAACAGATCCAACAGATCTTCAAAATGTATTAGTAAATGCTGAGGTTAACATTAACAAAGATTAATAAATGCTGTTGAAGCATTTATATATTGTTCATTGTTTTTTTTTTTTTATTGTTCATTGTTAGTTAACGTTAACTAATGTAACTAATGCTAAAAAATGAAACCTTATTGTAAAGTGTTTCTGCATAAAGACATTGTTGCAATACAGCAGCAATATACATTGAAAGCAACAAATAATCATTTACAGTGAAATGAAAAGAAAAAAGGCTTTTTGAAATGACTGTACGTTAATGGCTGTATGACTGTACATGTTGCAATATGAACAAATGTCATAAAAAACAGGTTGGTGACGCATTTTGTCTGATAAAAATGAGGAAATTGCGGCAATGTTGGCACATAAATGTGGATTCATCCAAACATTGACTGAGAGTGAAGGAGCTGGGCATGACTGTCTAGAATCTAGATCATATTTTAATAAAAAATAATAATGATAACAACAACAACAGTAAAAGTTGAATGGCTCCACAAAGGATCTGTGTCAAATAAATGCAGATATTCACATAATTCTGCACATCATCATCCTCAGTAGTAATAATTAGGGGTTGAATTCGGGTTGATTTGGGACACTTGCCATTGAGATGACTGGAAAACGTGTCCCAATCAACACTTTAGCATAATATGTTTTAATTTTGTAAAAAGAGTGCTTATTACAGAAATAGTATACTTTAAAAGAAACTTGTAAACAACATTTTTTAATTAGTTACAAATTTAAATTCATTAAAAAAGTTTAAACGTCTATTAAATGATTTTGAACTTAACCTTGAGTTAAGTGCATTTTTACATCTAACTTCATAATTATTTCTATAGTATTTGAAATATGGTAAAGTAAAATATACTTTAATGTAATTTCTATTGAAATGTGTAAAATGAATTTACAATTACACATTTGTAATGATGACATTGCAATATAGAACTTTAAATGTATTCAAAATAAAATAACACAACTTAAAATATTAATCAATACTTCACATGTGCTTTAGTATGTGTCGACACATTCAAATAAGTGTACTTCTTTAAAAAAACGGCAAAGGTTTATTAAAACATAATGATTTAATATGTACTTAGTACGCACTTCACACATTATTATGAAGTGCACTCTTTAAAAAGAGTATTAAAAAACAGTCACGAAAGTGTATGGTCTTTTATCTCATTAATATAGTTAACTAATGTTAACTAATGAACCTTATTGTAAAGTGTTACCAAAACCTCCCCGAAAGCAGAGCAGAAAATGTGAAAAATCTCTGTTTGACCCCACTAATGACTTGATCAAATGAAACGTGCTGGAGCCACTGTACGTCTACAAGATCTGACCCGAAATGATTTTTATTACCTAATGTAGTCAGGTTGATTCATACAAATAGCCAAAGAATTCAGTGTTGCATGTGTTTTTCATGTGTTGTTTGGCACTCCCTGTCTGCAGTTCCCATCTAAGCACTGCATTTAATCAAAGCGAGAAATTTGACAGACATTTTTGAAGTGGTTTGATGTGATTTCTCGTCCATCCACAATGGTGTTTGCACACAGACATAATCAAGCATCACTGAACAAGCTCCAGTTGAAAAGCACGACACAATAGCATCTGATCTCTGATGTTTCCTCAGCTGTCTCTCACTTTCCCCACTGAACACACCCTCAAATCACACTGTCATGCCTTTGTCATCATTATTCTTCAAGCTCCATCACGTACAGCTCACCATTTATTAATGAATTATTAACCGAATGCAAACACACAACCTCACCTGTGACCTACAAGAATATCAATTACTCCAAAATAAACTCTTTAATGGTCCTCAAGAAAGATCTTAAGTGGGGTTTAGTGCTTCCTTGTTAAGAACAATCAAAATGGCTTTTAAATCAATAATTAAATAATTATGAGAGTATTTGTCATTTAGCGAAGAAAACTTTTCATGTCAACAGATATACAGATCCCGTGAAATCAGGGTTTGAAGCCTCTATTTTAAGATTTACAGTCTTTCTCTTTGAACTTGACAAACAAAACAACCCAAAAATATTCATCACCATTTTTGTCTTCAATAAAATGCTCATTGAGAAAGAAAAATGTCCCTTTCCCCTATAGCAATAGCTACAACAACAACAACAACAAAAAAATGTCCCGCCCCAGATCCCTCTCTTTTAAGAGGAACTATGTCAAGAAGAATACTCGTCAAGCCATTTCATGGCTTCCTTATGATCCCAATTCAATTGAAGTTAATGAGATAATTAAGTGATTATTTAAGTGATGATTGACCATTATTGAAGAAACCTGATGATAATGGACACTTTCCTTTAGTGATTCTGCGACAAAAAGTTGCAAAACGTTTTTTAAACGGAAACGGAGGTGCGTTGAACACATGTTCTGATGGCAAGAGTTACAACTACGGCAGCTGAGAAGGCCATTCTTTGAGTTCTTTTTGAAGAATTTTCTTTTTCAAAACGCATTTTGAAATCGGTATAAATACGTGTTTAATACTGCAGAATACGTTTGATGTTACAGTCACTGCGCTTGCCGTCCAGAATAAAGGAGAACATCCCAATCGAGTGAAGGGATTCCTGTGGTTCCTAATTATTGTGATCCAACATTTGCCTCGCATTTCAGGATGAAGAGACAAACATTTCAGGTGAAGGATAATCCACTTCTTACCCCCGAGACTGTGTTGTGATCTATATGACCTTATTATTTTTATTGTGAGCATTATGCTGATCACTGTTGATATGCTATAGTTTTACTATAAAACTCTAACGACAAACAAACAATTTTTTGTCTTGTTTCCAGTCCAAATATCTCAAAATTCTTAAATCAAAATGCATTTACTAGATGAGTAAAATTACATAAGATATTATGTCCTGTTTTCCAGGGGAAGAATTAATCAAAATTAAGTGAGTTGATGCTTAAAAAAAAGCAAAGTTATCTGCCAATGGGGTAAGAAAAATAATCTAAATTCAAACAGAAACAATATTATTTTTCTTACCCCATTGGCAGATAACTGTGCTTATTTTAAGCAAAAACTCACTTAATTTTGATTAATTTCCCCAGAAAACGTATCGGTTACCTAACGTAACCTCGGTTCCCTAGAAGAGGGAACGAGTATTGCGTAAGTTAGCTTACGCTACGTGATTTATCTTTTCGAGATATTGAAGTCAAAAAATTATCCTTAATTTTTGTATTCATTGTCAACGCAGTGCAGCAGCTAGCAGACCTAGAGCAGGCTATCTAGTGTGCTCATAGGCTGCCCTGCGGGAACTGCGGGGCCCGCCAGAATGGGCGTGGCTTAGCGTATATAAGCAGGGCTTGGAGGCTGTTTCTCTGGTTTTCATCGACTGAAGCGAAAGTCTCTCGTGGCGCGAGCACGGCAGGTTACGCAATACTCGTTCCCTCTTCTAGAGAGAACCGAGGTTACGTTAGGTAACCGATAGAGAGGTTCTATCGTATTCCGTAAGTGAGCTTATGCTACGGGAGCCCTTTGTCAACGCCGTGCGCGCCAAGCATCCACTCCATGAGTCCCCGAGTCGGGGAACAAGATAAGTGGAAAAATAGGGGCCAGCATAGCGGGCCGACACATGTATAAGCACCCCATGGGAAATGCAGAGCAGCATAGCCGGTCTGACATAACGGCCCATTATAGTGCGGCTCAACCAGAAGAGCTTAGTCACGTGATAGTAGCCTGCGCGCAGAAATGCGGGCAGATCATACACACTATTAGACTGACAAAAGTTTAGCCTGCAAGGCGGGAACTTCCAGGTTATAAAACCTCACAAATGTAGACGGAGAGGCCCAGCCTGCCGCCGTACAAATGTCATGAATAGAAATTCCGCTGGACCATGCCCACGATGAGGCCATGCCTCTAGTGGAATGAGCCCTGATGCCCAAAGGGCACTGCAGATCTTTTAATAATAATAATAACTTTATTCTTATATAGCGCCTTTAAAGCAGCTTCTCAAGGCGCTTTACATAATAAAACAAGCAAAATTAAAATACAACACTCAGAGAAAAAAATAAAAT